GCATGCCCTCCTCCTCCCAAATGAGCTGAGACATCTGGAAGCTTCTTTCCAGCAGAATCACATTATGTGATTCACCCTAACATTGGTACTTGGTTATGATCCTCTCTACCTACCCCAGCATATAACTACTCAGAAAAACACAGATCTGCTTTCTGCCAATAGTAAGTAAGATTCTTACTCTGAGCTATTTACCACAACTTTGTGATCTAAAATTTGGCTCTTTCAGTGCTAAACATAGCAGGAATTAGCAAAAATAGCAGGGATCATGGAAAATTGCCAGTATTTATTCTCAGAAGAGAAGGACAATTAGACAATTTCAAAGTTTTCTTTTGCTTACATTAAAATTCAAAAGGAAATTTTTTGTTTATTTGTTTAGCTAGGAGAATCCATGCCTTTCACTCAGATATCTAGTAGAGTGAACTATTTTGAAAGCAGGGACATGATTTAATTATTGTTTAGCCATGTTTTACGTTCTTCGTTTCTGTGCTGTCATGGGTTGTTCTAAGGCTTAAGTGATTTAATGAGTACAAGGCATAACTGGGCCTGGCACATATCGAGTGCTCCCAGCACTACTGTTTCTATTATTTAAGAGAGCCCAGGGGTGGGCCCATATGCTTGGGGAAGTAGGTAGGGCCAAATGGCATGACCTGTGTCAGTAGACAGACTTCACAATCAAAATTCTCTCTTCCCCATGAGCAAGGTAATTTAGAGACCATGACAGTCCATGGCATAGCATCTACATTTACAAGACAATTATCAGTCACCCACCAAACCTCACAGGACTTAATACTTGGGAGTTACTTACTAACCAAAGTATCTTTTTAGAATACTTGTGAGGCCCTAGAGACCTCAGGTAAGGGTTCTAGAGAATGGTTACATTTTTACAAAAATTTTTTATTTTGAGAAAAGTATAAATCCATAAGAAACTTCAAAAAAAAAAAAAGAAACGTACAAAGAGGTCTCCTATATCCTTCACTCGGTTTCCTCCAGATAAAACATCTTGCACAATTATAGCACAGTAATAAAACCAGGCCAGTGACTTCTGTTCAGTCCACTGAGTATATTCAAATTTCACCAGTTTTAAGGACAGTTACATCTTGGCTGTGAAGGGCGTAAAAATGAAGAGAAGAAATAAAAAGGAGATGTGAAGGTAGTGAACATAATCACTGATGTTGTATCATCTGATGTTACTTTGAAATTTGCCTTTTTGCTAGCCATGAGAAGATGAATGTTAATTAAGCATATAAATTGTGTAAGTACAACTTGCTGAGAAAAGAACTTAAATTTTTTTTTTCAGAGACTGGGCTTAATAATTATAATCAAGTTAACATGTTTTCAAATCATCTGTAGATATGAACGCTTACGAGTGAAATCACTGGTCTCTTTTAAAGTGAGAGGTGAATCCAATTTTTGATATACACATAGAGGTTCTGTCCTTGTCCAAGCACACACACAGTCCGCACAATTGTCATGAAAGAATAAATAAGGAGCTTTACAATTTTCTCTATTGCTTGGCCTGGAGGGGCACGTAGGAGGTAACTGGATTTTGTTACATGTCCCAAACTAAACTTTAGAAGCCCCCCTTACAGTATTTGTTATTTGTTATAAATTAGTCTGACCAATCCTTACAAGTTCTCAAAATACTTTTCCTTGAGCATGCTATATGTTTATATATATATATATGGAAATATTAAAACTGAATATTCTAATCAGCTGAAATAGGTAAGGTTTTACTCTGTATCTCATTTTCATAATATGTAGGAAGTCAAACCATTACAATGACAACAACATCCTTAACTAACAACTAACTTTCAAAATTGATATAACACAAGGTAGTTCAAAGTTGATCTCCTGGTTCAATCCATTTGCCAATATTTGGTCTTTAGCTCTTTAGCTGTAATATTAAAAAAAAAAAAAAGAGCCCATCAGAACAAAATGTCTTCAAAACTTCTTAAGAAGCAGATTCTCTAGATCTATCAAAAAGGACTAGAACTGCTTTCCTAGGTAGGTAACAATGGGGTGACATTTTTGATTCTTCACAGTAAGAAATCTGCTCTGGTATTAGGAAACAAAACACAGCATTTCCCCTTTGCCCAGCAGGGAGCTGTCTGTGTCCATCTCCCCCCAGCCAGGCAGTCAGTGTAAACAGATGTTTCAATAGGTGGAGAAGCCAAACTCCCCCCAAGTTGTACACAAAGAGCTGATGACTCCCACTGGGGTCATCTGAATTCTGAATGACCAAGCAGAACTCTTGCGAAGGCCCCCCTCTTCGTGGGCCAGCCCTAGACAAGATTCTGAAACAGGAGAAGCTTGTCCTGGACCACAGTGGTGCCACCACCCCAGTCCCCAGGTACCTGACTTCCCAGTTGAGTGTCCTGAAATCTCCCCACTCCTCCTTCCCCAGCCCACCCAGGACTCCCCCCTTTAAGCACTGATGCTGTAAGCGTGGCCATCCCACAAAGATTCTGTGGACAGTGAAGCAGGGCCCAAATAACCTGCCCAAGGCTCACAGCTAGAGATCTGCAGGCCTGACTTTGAGGTTAACCCTCTCTCCATTGCCTACAGCACATCAAATTGTTCTGTGGGGCTAAGTGGTCAACAATTTACTATTTCATCCATTTTTTTTTAAGCTCAAGAATTTACAAATTGTTTGTAAAGGTCCCTATTCTTTCAGAATCAAACCATCACATATATTCTATTTCAGCTCTTGGAGAAATTTTAAAATGCTTGAATGTATTCATATATTTAAAAGTACTTCTGATAATAACATGGTTTCTAATGAATCTTTAGCAAAACGTAGCACAGTGTATATATGTGTCTCTGTGTGTGTGTATGCACACACATATATACACACATGTATGGGTATGGGGAGGGGGTGTGTGTTTATATATACATACATACACACAAAATTTAGAGCCACCAAAATAATCCAAACCAAGGAATTTTTCACTGACCATAGCATAATTTTTGCATTTTTTTTGTAGTTCAAAATAAATGTTATTCTTTGAAATACAACAAATTATTTTATTTGATTGATACATGTAAAGCAACAAGGACTTCTCTAAGATTGCAAGTTTGATTTCTAAAACCACCGAAACACTACCAGTGGACTCTGTCATGCACACAAAGAATACTTCTTTGAAGAATCCTTACCTTGAGACCTTTTTCCTCTGAATAGATGATTTCTTGCATATGTGGACTTACAAAGTGCTCATGAATCATTCATTTTTCAAAATCTGGTTGGCTTAAGATTCCTTTCGCGAATTTTGCATAGAGATGCTGTTGTTTGGAAACACACTCCCAAAGTGAGATCAACAGGGTTGAAGAAAACCAGACCATTGCAACAAGCGCTCATGCATCCCCCAAAGAAGGGGGATATGTGTGTGTGTGTGTGTGTGTGTGTGTGTGTGTGTGTGTATGCGTGTGCACATGCATGTGTAACTAAATATTCAAAGTGTTTAGTGCAAGATTAACAAGTGTCTAAATGTCGTCCTCTGATTTCAAATAGAAACTGCAGATTCTATTCCAGAGCTGGCAACCTGCCGTCACTGCAGGCCTTGAAGTGGCTCGTGGCCTCGGGGAGAGGGGAAAAGACTGCCCTCGCAGATCATGCTGCTTCTCCCACCCGTGGCATGGCTTCGGTGTCTTGGTTTTAGTGCTAATTCCACTGCGGACTTCCTAGACTTTCAACTTGAACTATCAAAGAGACAATGTAAAAGATATACAGACTTTAAAAAAATATTTGCAAAAGGAAGACATTCTAAATTATTCTCTGTGATCTGAATTCTTCCTCATCACAACCTTGATATAAAGCCAGGGCTCTGACCACTATTTTAGGCTGATAGTCAGTTTTCTGTACAAAGCGTGCCCTGAGTTCATGTGTTTGGTTGTGAAAGTGGTCAAGAAAATGATAAATTAACATTTTTAATGGTGAAGAGTCTAAGTTTGAATTATTTTAACGGTTTTTCCACCCTCTTTCTTCCTGACCACTCTGACTTTAAGTACACTTGGTCACAGTACAGATTATTTTTACACAAAATCCCCCTCCATTCAAGGAGAACACTTTTTTTTTTTACAAGAAAACTTTAACAGCCAGATGTAGTTCATCATAGAAACTTTAGGGTCAGAGCCTGTGAAACAAGAATAATGAATATTTGAGCACTTATGTTTGTTAGGCATTCCTGTGGGCACTTGACATGCACAGTCTCATTCAGTCCTTATAAAAAAAACCTATTAATCCCCTTTCAAAAATGGGCAATTTGAGGCTTAAGTAGGCCATTTAACAAGTCCAACGTTACACAATTGGTAAGCAGAAGAGCCGAGCCAGGATTCTATCCACATCTGCTTCCTCTAGTGCTAGTGTTCTTAACCACTGCCCTGTACTTTAAAATTTCCAAGAATGAGGATCAGCAGTTTTCTCTGTAAGGAAGAAATATTTTCTGCACTCTAGGATCCTTGTCTATAGAACAGAGATGTATTTCTAGTGAATTCCTAACACTTTGTATGCCCTTATCTATAAGACCAACCACAGGCAACTCTGCATCTAAAAACCGAAGGGCAGTATGCTGTATTCTCAGCTTTTAAAAAGTTTTTCAAAGCATTAAATATGAAAAATTCCATTTGCAAAACACCAAGCTAAATTCAAGTTACAGAGGCATAGAGCTGTGACCAAGTTATTTGTAAAGAAAATGGAAACCAGTGTCGATTTTCAAGTAGGACAAATACTGTTCTTTGGAATGGAAACTTGTTGCTGAGTCTCACCATGAAGCAAAAGGCTTACAAACTTTTGAAAAAATAAGGTTCACATGGAAACAAAAACAAAACAGGAACCTCCAGTATAGAGACCAACAGATGCTTCATGTCTTCCCAGTTCTTTTAAAAGCCACTGTTGGCTATTAAAATGTCAATGTAGGGATGATAAAACACCAATAACTCCAGCATTTCAGGGGAAATGCTTATGCTCAAGTTTTTAAACTTTGGTTTTATGAAAAATTTCCTAGGATGAAGACTGATGGAAGTGATGACTTATAAGGATAAGCCAGCTGCAGTCACGAGGAATTGACTAGATCACATCCAATAAGACGGGAATTAGTCATGAGGACTACATGGTAATAACAATTCATGACAGCTAATACTTACTGAGTCCTTATTATGTGTCAGGTACCATTTTAAAGTTCTTTTTTTCTTTTTTAATTTAATTCTCACAACTCTAAAGGTAAGCGTTACTGTCATCCCTAACAGCCCTGAGATGAAGCAACGTCCAAAGTCATACAACTGGGAAGTGGTAAAACGGGCCTTTGAAGCAGACAGTGCAACTCTGGGACCAAGACTGTGCTCCTTTTGCTACAGTAATGCCCTGCGGGAGAGCCCTGCACCCGAGGACAGGGACTGTCCCCACATGACTGAACTAACGGTGGACAGAAAGCAGGAATTCCTGCCGTGCTCCTTCAGCTCTTATAAACTAGACTTGTGATGCATTTCTCAGAAGGTCACAGTCTCGTTGGGTGAGCTAGTGGGAGCAGGTAGAAAGATGAAGATGAGCAAAAAGCAGAAACTACATACAAGTGGTGCCAGGTTGGTGGGGAATGGCTCCTTAACTCTTGTGTGACATAGCCTCCAGCCTCTTGCAGTGTTATTTGCATCTTCTACCCTTTCACCCTGTCTCTCAAGCTAGTCACAAGCTCCCTGAGGTCCTGACCTGGGTCAGTCATGGCTCCATATTCCCCTTATGGCTTGTGCAAAGCAGATGCCTCATAGATGCTGCATGATTTACGTGCACTGTGGACGTTTTCCCATGGAGGCTGAGCACCAAGCTGGCTCTTCATGGAAGTGATGCGTGAACGTGTACAGAGAAAGGGTGAGAAGGCAGCCATGTGTCCAAGAACAAAGCCGTGGTGGTTGTGAACAGACGGAGTCATGGGGAGTGGTTGGCTTGCACCAAGGTCTCATGCTGGACTGTGACCAAACCAGGTATTTACTCATGCAGGACCTCATAGTCTATGCCAGAGCATTCAGAGATTATTCCATAGGCAATTTGGATCACTGGCTGATGACACAGGGAAGGAAGGAATCTTCCAAGGGTTTTGTTTGCTGACATGAGAGCTTCCAAGGCCCAGAGTTAGAATGATCAGAGAGAATGTTGAGAAACAATTTCCAGGAAGGGAGGAGATGGCAATTAAGTCACACATTTAATTTACTTTTTTAACATGCTGAGTGGTAGCCAGCAGTAAACAAATACATGCGTCTCTATACTATTCTGATAGAGAAGCTTCCCAGAACTGCCTGGACTAAGGAACAGAGGTGGATTCATGTAGTTCCCTGTCTCTTTGTAAGTCTTCCTGTTTCTGCCTGCTTTATCAGAATAGTTCCACCACTCCTTTTTCAGCAGGGCTAGTCTCCTGTCCTAGGCCCAGAGCAAGGAAGAGTAATCAGAGAAAGCCATTGGCAACGGATCATAGAGATCTGCAGCAGGGGACTGGAGCTGCTGATGCCTAGGGCTGAATCTGGCTCCAAAATCACTATTCCTTCTATGAACTTGGGCAAGTTGTTGAACTGCTTTGGGTCTTCATTGCTTCATGTATAAAATGGGGACAGTTCAGCACTTAACTGCAGATTGCTGAGAGCATAAAATGAGACCGAGCATGCAAAGCATTTAGCCAAGTGCCCTGGTACACAGATTTTTCTAACTTGTATTTTCCTAGATTCTGTATCCGTCTACTTGGCATCCATTAAATTACAGGGCCACACTAACAGCCGAACATGCTTACATGTCCGCTGCGATTCAGAGCCTGTACTCGGAACCACCTCTTTATCTTACAGTCCACGCACCAAATCAACATTTCTCTGCCCTGCTTTCCCCAGGGCCAGGCACCGGACAGCTAGGGACAGCCCCTCCTTCCAAGGCCTGCCAGAATATTCAAGCAAGCTAATCCTAAGCTGTTCCCCTGTCTGGCCTTGCAGGGGCAACCCTACTGAAACCCCACTAAAAGGCTTTCCTCACTCCTTTCTGCCTCCTGACCCACACTGGAGCTTCCCCACGTGGCCCTGTGTGGCATACCACGTCCCTCCTCCTGGGACACGTAAGGAATAAAAATCTTCTTTCAGGGGCATTAGACTCTGTGTTGTTACTCAGTCACCTGTATAAATTAAAATGCCATGGGCACAATCATTGAGACAATAGAGCTCAATAAATAATACATTTTACATAGACCATAACATAGAATCAGCCAATTTATCTCTTCTACTCGTCCTTTCTCTCCTTACTGTCACTTTCATAGTTCTGGCCTGAATCACAATAGCCTCTTTAACATACCTTCTATATTCAATTATTATTTACTCAGAGCATCTCTTCACATGGCTCGCTTCTAAAACTCAAGCTAAGGTTACCCTCCACCAGGAAAGCTGGATGTATAGTTCCTTATGGTCTACAGATCGAGTCGAATCTCCTATCTTGGTAGTTAGGCTTTCTAGGGTCTGGCTTGGAACTACAGCCATACTGGATGGCTCAACATTCCCTACGAATGCCATTAGCTTTTCCTACCTCTGTGCTTTTGCCCAGGTAGTACCTGCCCTTGGGATCCTCTTTTTTCTGTTCTCTAAATATGGAAATCACAATGTACTAATGGGGCTTTTGAGTTTACTTCTATATTATAATTGCCCTTAACAGTACATAACTAAATTAATTTCAAGTCTTCAGTATGACTTAGTAGAATCTTCATGAGTTAAAAAATACCGAAAGCCTCACAAGAGCAAACATTAACTATTAGTCCTAATTTCAGAGTTGAAAGTATCCTCAATGATTTGGAAGGGCCAATTCAAGTTCTACTTACTTGGAAAACTCTGTACTATCTCTTAAAATTAACCACTTTTTCCTCTAATATCCATTTAGCACTTACTTAATTCTGTCTATTCATATCATATTTATTGTATTCTTTTACATTTTTTTTCTCTAGATCACAAACACTTTTTTTGAGGTCAAGGACAAGCCTTACATAGATCCTAAAAGTCGTCATCACAAGAGAAAAAATTCTATACCTATATATGGTGACAGATGTTAACTAGACTTATTGTGGTGACCATTTCAAAATATATACAAATATCAAATCGTGCTGTACACATGAAAGTAACATAATGTTATATGTCAGTTATACCAAAAAAGAAAAAAAGGAGTCTTAGAAATTATTTTGTCTTTCCAGCAGGCCCTTTGGTCTTACATGTATATAAAAGCTGCTTAGTGAATATTTATTGAGTTATGAGACCTACAATTATTCTAATTAAAACAAAGGGTTCTTATCAAATGGTAATTTCAAAGTTTATTATGGGCAAAGTTGGGAAAAGACCTCCATAACTCATCTAAATTAAGTAAAATTACTATAGGGCAGAGTAAAAGAGTATTAAATTCCATCAGAAAACAGTGACAGATACAGTAAACTATTTTAAAGCATTATTGCCATATTTAGTCATTACCATTAATTATGAAGTGAGATTAATATTAATTTTGGTTTACAAAGATAAAATGCTTTTCATTTATAAACAAATCATATTGCAATCTAGGTGTGCAGTTTCTCAGTATTCACTTTATCCAGGCCTGAAATTATTTGGCCATGTGTGGGATAAGGTTAAAATTCCAGTCTGCTTCAAACCTCTCCCAGTCCTAGCTAGACAGCAACCCAGGTCCCTGTTCCTTCAAGCCCCAGCTGGCACTGAATGAGGAAATAGGTGTGGGTAGAACTCAGTCATACTGTCTTTAATGGCTACCTGAAACTTCTCCCAGGTCCTCAATAAATATTTGAACTGACTTCATCATCTTCCTCCCAGCATAACTGTTGAAAAAGAAAGTTGGCTGAGATTTATAGTTACCTGTTCTCAGTAGGTGGGTGGTTGGGCTTGGGGAGGAATGAGAATTATTCCACTGATACAAGAAGCTGATCCCAGCAGACACAAAGAAGGAAATGGTGGTTTAGAAAGAATCTTAAAAATTACTCAAAGATGATTACAGGCTGTCACTGAGAAATGAGGAAGGAAGGGCTTTCCTTCTGACTATAGGGTATATAGCTCTATAGTAAGAAATTATTTTATGTTTAGGCCAATGGTAGTCTGTATGCCTTCTGAAATGTAAAGAGCAGTAAGAACTTAGGTATGTGGTACGGCTTACAAAGCATCAAGACAGATTACACAGGTCATAGATGAAACCAGTTTCCTTACTTTATAACATCTTGCATCTCACCTTCCTGAAGTCACTGCTCTCAGTCCCTGGATGCCTGCTTCACAAAGCACAATGGGCATGGTGGATTTAGAGAGTATCAAGCCACTTAGCTCTCCCTGGGCTCATCATCTAGATAAGTAGGGAGGACCACAGGGAAATGAATGCTATGCAGGTCACTCTGCAAATGAGCAACACAACCAAGCCTTTCCAGCACTCATGGGAGCTTCATTGAAGAACAGAAGTTCATTAAACAAATCACTTAGCTGCAATTTAAAATTTACAAATGTTTGTTCCCAGTTAGATATTGAGAAAGTGTGGAAATCATCTGTAGCAGAGATATCTTTAAAAACCATTCACCTGTCCATCTCAAGGTAAATGTGCTGAATAATTCCTCTCTGCCAGGACCTGGATAGCCATTAGGGATGACAAGATTTTTTAAAAGATTAATCTATGGCCCCGTTTTTAAGAACTAACCAAAAATACTCCTAAGAGTCTCCTCATACTTAAATAACTTAAATACAAAAATACCAGTAGACTGAAAAATACCTAGAGTATGTAAGGAAGGGAGAATAAAATAGAAAGGAACTAAAACGTACTATCAGGCCATAGAAAAGAATGAAGTTCTGATAAATGCTATGGATGAATCATGAAAACATGCTCCAGGAAATAAGCCAGACATGAAAGGACAAATGTTGTATGATTCTACTTGTATGAAATGTCAAATTCATAGGGACAGAAAGTAATTTAGAGGTTAACATTAAAGGAGAAGGCAGCGAAGATGGGGAATATTGCTTAATGGTTACAGAATTCCCGTTTGGGGTTATGAAAAAGTTTTGGAAGTAGATAGTGGTGATGGTCACACAAAATTGTGAATGTAATTAATACCACTGAATTATACTTTGAAATGGCTAAAATGGCAAATTTTGTTATATACATTTTAGCACAACTTAAAAAAAGATAATATATCACTGAATTGTACCCTTTCAATCCGTGAATTGTATGGCATGTAAATTATATCTCAATAAAGTAGTTTAAAAAAAAAGACCATCTCTTATATGTTAGCATATTACTTTGTCACACTGTAAAGCTGCAAGCATTGTTAAATAAGAATCAGGAGACCCATGTTTGAAATATTATGACTCATACTCCTAATGTCCAGGTTTTGCAAATAGTCACTAATCCTTTTGGCAGTTCAGAGCCCAGCAGAACCTTCTATCTTTTGCATACCTGGTTAAATAACCAGTTTACTATCTTGCAATGAATACTTATCAGATTATTTTCAAAACAATCTCTTGGCTTGATGCTTCTTGAATACAGTCTTCCTGAAAAGTATGGCTGGAAACCACCATCAAAACAAGACAAATTACATCATCTAGTTTTTGTACCTCTCAATTGTCAGTTAGCTATAGGTCAGAGCATGACAGTATCTAGAAAAATGCCTGGCACATATTGGCTTTCTATACGTATCTGTTGAAGCGAAAGAACACTTGCATTTACTGCTTAGAAAACTCTCAGGACCCTGGTCAGATAAAAGCACTGTGAGGGGCAGCAGGCCAGCTAGAAAGCCCCTGGGAGCTTATTACTTCCGGCTCATACTTGCTTCCTCTGCTGGCTCTGTGCTTCTATTACAGGCCCATCATCAGCAAGACCAAAGAGTTCCCTTCTAAATATGTATACATGCATCATTAAGAAGTCCAAGGTCTAGACAGAACAGAACAAGGTTGGGTATTTCAAAAGTATTTCATGCCATTGAAAATTTGTTTCAGAAAAGGGCACAATAAGTTAACAGGAGAGTTCCATTTTGGACACTAGCACTTACTGTTGTCTCAAAACATAGTAACAGAAAATAAAAATAATTAAAAGGGAAACCCAGATGCTCATTACTTTTACTATCTCCCATACCATAGGTAATAAAGTGATAAGGCTTAGACTAGAATTTGTCAAAAGTAGGTAAAACTTCTCTGTCTTCCTAGTCAAATACAAATGCTACAGAACAAGGGTTACATCTTAAAATAAAAGCTTTTGAAAGAAATAAGGTGGGAATAATGATCTTTTACAGTGTGACTACAGAAGACACATATGTCTTTGACAGGAAAACAGAAAATAGACCTCGTACAAGTGAGTTAGCCATAATTTAGAATAACCTGAGAAGAAAAACAAACTATAGATTTCCTAATGCTATTTGAAGAGGAAAAATCTTGTAAGGTTATCATCACCTTGTTGCACCCTTAAGGAAAAAAATGACAGTCATAGCAGAGTGTCGCAAACATAGCCTGAATCTGAATTCTACCTTGACTCTGTGAGATGAGAAGCTTGGCTTTAGCCCTTCGGGGAGAGCTCCGGCTCCGCCATCCTCTGACCAGAGCCCCCACCATGGCTGCTGACAGCTCCCCTGGCAGCCGTGGCCCTGCTGGGCGACCGGGAGGGGTGGACAGCCCTGTCAGACTGCCACGGCATCATGTCCACCTGCGACGAGGTGCTACACCCAAGGCGGACAGGTCTGGGCAGTTCTACCGCCTTCGTCCTCCACCCACATTCCCACCCAGCTGGTGCTGTCAGCCCTCCTGCAGGAGGCCCAGGGAAAGTTTGGGGGATGAGATGAGAAAACGCAGACAAGAACAAAAATATAAACAAGGGACACTGACTAGAGCTTATCAGTAGAAGAGGGTGGCCAATATTACAGAAGTGCCAATCTCCTTTTCATGGGATTTTTTTTTTTATTCTTCATTTTGCACTTGAAGAAGTCTCATTTTTCAACATTTGAAAATGACTGTGTATAAAAAGTGGGCAGGGTGGAAGCATGTAACTATGTATCTATTTATCTTTTCCTAGCGAATTTTCTCTGCTAAGCTGGAACAGCTTTCAGACAATTGTTGTTCTTAAAAGAATCATTCTTCCAGATAAACAGAATTTGTTTACAATATATGAAAAGCATTTCTAATGTCCTGAGGGTTCACTTCACATATTTACATCAGCTTTTGTGGATGCGGAAAGTTGATTAAGGAACTTAATAAAAACTCACAATCTTGAAAACTCTCAAAGGGTTTTAAAAGAATTAATTCCAGTGGCCTAATTCCTTCTTTCTCCTGGCAAATTTGCCAGGGTTGCCCCACACTGAGTAGGTGCAACCTGAGTGAGCTTCACTACTGCAGTACATTGCTCACATATGCCCCCTACTGGTCAATATGCAGGGCCACATTGGTTAGAGATGTGGGAGGGGCAAGTAGAAAGTTCTAGAATCTCTTGATTATCCCTGTATGTTACATTCATTCAGTCTGGGTGATACTAAGATTGAATTAACTGTAGGCAGCCTGAGAGGTTTTTATATTATTTTCCATCCTTATGGCTTTTATGGATTATGCAGATGGAATAATCCAAAACTGATTTCACACTTTTTCTCACTTCTCCAGTTACACCTTATTTAATAAGATCAAAGTTATTTTTGCAGGAGCAGGCATCTTCCCCAAATCCCTCCATATTCTTCATACTATTTTTAAAAAGACTACAATTTACTATATAGTAGCAGTGTTTTGAGGATACACACTTCATATATTCATTTAGTCAAAATGTGCCTCATTTGCTCATTATTTTGACATTTCCAAAATGTGGAAAAACTTTAGTATCATTGCAGATGGAGGGTAAAAAGAAATGAAGCTTGGGAATTTGAAATGGTGTGAGTGTAGGAAGCTGTTGGCTCTACTCCGTCCACACTCCGAACCCACGGCGGGGTTCAAGGTACAAGCGCTGCTTCTCATCGCCATGCACACCCCCCCTCCCTGGAGTGGGGACTCTGTTTGCCATGGCATCTTCTCCTTTTGTGTCAGAGGGCTGAGCTGGGCCTTGACAGCTGCTCAGGGAGCAATGTTCTCTGCCCTTCAGGGAAAGGGGCATAGAGGCTTCCAACAGTCTCTCAATTCCTGTGACCCTCAGAGTCACAAAGACAGGCTGAACCTGCCTTCTGCTGGGGACACTGCCTGTGGGAGTGGGGTGGCATCCCAAGAGGGCAGCAGGGGAACGAGGTCCTCAAGCCTGGGTCTGGTCCTGGTTTGGAGGTGAGGGATTTAACAGGAATCCTAGGGATGGCCTAGGGTCACTCTTCAGGGGACAAAGTCAGGAGATGAGAACACAGCACATGTATTTACCTTGGGGCATCTCACTCAGGAACTCTGTGTCCAATTGCTGGAGATGAATGGGCTGGGGATGAAGTGTGGTAAGGATTCTAGAAAAGGCCCTATCAAGGCAAGCAGAAGCCACCTTTGGACCCATCCTTGGGGTGAGGTGGCAGAGATAACACAGTGATGCTGAAAGCAAAAGATTAGCTCTGAAGACTAGAGAACTAACTCTCCAAATGGTGCTCTTCATTGGGTCTCAGTCATTACAACTGCCACATACCTGAGATCCCTGTAAATAGCAGACCCTGTCCCAGTGGGCTCATCAGAAGCCCAAGTGGGAGATGCAGGACTTGTGGCCAGAGCCATTTCCGAAGCACAGTGAACCACCAAATTCAGACCCAGAACCCTGCATGGCTCGGTTACCCATCAGGGAAGTATGTGAGAAAGTCAGTAAGTGGGACCAACTGATCTTCAAATAAAATTCCCCAAGCCTCACACTGCTTCTTCCTTGTATGTGTGCCTCCTCTGCATTCTCACAGCTTGCTAACATGTAGCTACAGCCCTTCCCACAGCACTGCGACTATGGTCTGCAGCTGACCCTCGGACAATGGGGTTTAGGACTGCTGACCGCCCCCTGCCCAGTCGAATATCTGCATATAACTTTTTACTTCCCCCAAAACTTGACTACTAATAGCCTACTATTAACTGGAAGCCTTACTGATAATAGAAGCAGTTGCTTAAAACGTATTTTGTATGTGTACATATTATATATTGTATTCTTACAGTAAAGTAAGCTAGAGAAAAGAAAATGATTTTTCAAATTGTCACAAATCTCCAAAATATTTTTCAGTCGAAAAAATCTATGTATACACGGACTCATGCCATTCAAATCCATGTTGTTCAAGGGTCACCTGTACTTACTTCCATCTGTCCCTCTCAGCCAGCTGTCCCTAAACCTCACTGTGCATCAGAAATACTTCATGAAATATGGATTCCCAGGGCTTGCCCTGAAGTGGCCACTTTACTAAGTCTGAGTCCACCTTTTCCTCCAGCTCCCCACACTTTCTTATGTTACCAGCCTGGAATCGATCCAAGGATGGTATGAAGAATCCAAGTTACTAGACTGTGGGCTTTTTGCAGTAGGGGACCATGACATTCATTATCGCAGTGCATGTGACCAGCGGAGTTTGCTGGAGGGAGAGAATCGACACCATGACCGGGGCCCAGCAGCACCCACCCCACATCTCTGCACCAGTTGGCCACCTGATACCTTCATCCTTCTGCGAAGTCCTCCTGCTGGCCACTACCCCCAAGACCACATCATATAACATCACCTTGCCTCTTCTCCACCCCAGGCCCACCCACATGTCACTTGCCTGTGATGTTTGGTCCAGAACATGATTTGTCAAGGCCACAGTTTCCTGTCCCTTCCAACCCACAGAGCCATGGCTCTACCTTTGCTTCAGATGTGTCAGGCCCTGGATGCTACTGAGAAGGGGTCTGCATGGAGATTCACGGCTCAGGGGACACAGAAGCATCAAACACTTTGCTGTCCTTGGTCTGCCAGCTGTAGCAGGTGGACACTCAGTGTCCAAGGTTTCCTCCAACAGGAAGCTGAGCAGTGACCATGACTGCTGTGGGCAACGTGGTCAGGAAGAGGAAGAAGAGTAATGTCCTGCCTGAGTAGGTCAACCCCGCCCTTCCCGATTCATATGTACACTTCCTGAAACAGACCCGCCATCGGCTGCCCACATCCTTCCACCTGGACACAGAGGGAAACAGCTCAACCACAGGCACATGAGGTCATTTTCCTCCACATTAGTCTTATTATAAGATACCCTCCCCCTCCTCTCAAAAAAGGGACACACTGAGGAAGGAAACACACTTTTTCTTTAGTCAGGATATCTAGAAAACCAGAATCCTGCTGAAGGCTTTTTAAAGGCTGATACGGCTCACAACAAGCTTTAGTTCACAGATGCTTGCTTCTAATTTCCTATGGTGACTATGCATTACCAACTATTTCCTAAATATCATAAACATAAATACTTCTCCACCCATCCTCTATAGAGTATGAGGGCTGAATTGGGACATTTGCTTTTTTGTAATTTCTTAGGACCTATCCTAATTCTGGACACACAGAGGACACAAATACTGATCGTGTAAACACACATTAAGCACGTCAGGCTACGATAATATGGCTGTCAACTGCCAAAATGCACATTCGGCCATCAGAATTATGACCTCCATCTCTGTAACAAACACCTCCTATTACTCCAGGAAGGAGCAGCTGGGGGGCAGGTGGGGCTGTGTGCAGAGAACTTGCTCCTGCTGTTTTCTTCCACTGGGGTGAGGTGTTGGGGCTCCTGGTCTTTGATCCCTCACATAGACTTCTCTCAGGGGCAGGAATCAGGAATTAGCTCAGTGCGTGTAGGAGGGACAACGGAGCAGGTGTAATGGAGCCCCAGTCTCTGGTTCTCTTGGCAGAGAGCTGCCCAGAGGCCTGTCTTGCCAATGGGTTTCAGCCCCAGGCAAGTTCACTATGGATTCAATGTGACCAAAGAAAGGGCAGTAAAGTGTTCTTGGGGTGAAAGGGTTATACCCAACGTTATTTCCATGGTGGCAGGTCAATCACTAGAATCCTGTTCACTCAGAGCGAGTCTGCACACAACAAGCTGGTCTCTGCCTCTGGGTCTCTCGGCCGGCACGGCCGTCCTCTGGGCCTCTGTCCTTGGCACTGCCACCACTCCAGGCTCTGCTCTGCTCTCCTGCAGCCGTGCTACCATGGCACCCAGAGCACTGGGTGGAGCTCTTTATACAGAGTTGATAGCACCATATTGCCCGCAGGTGTCCAGTGAGCTAGCCGACCAGGGCCAGGTGAGAATCCTGGCCATAGAAACTTTCATTTTATCCACAAGGCCCCACAAATTTTGCTTTACTTCTTGACACCATTAAGTGTGACGAGGCAAAATGCACTTCTGTGTGGGAAGCCCGCCCCATTCAGCCCAAGGCACGGGAAAGCGTCTGATTCTGAGGTTAGTGTTAGGATGCCCACCTGCCAACAGATAAAGGACACAGCCTCCACCACCAGCTTCACCAGTAATAAAGGAGAGGGTTTAGTCTCCACCTGCCTTACTCCTTTGTTTCAAAGTCTCGAATTGGAATAGAGGGTCTTTATTGCCCTTTCCCCCACCAAGCCCCAATATTTGATGGACTGGCCCATGCACTTGGCATTTGGGGGACAAAATAACTCCTGAGGATTGATATCTCTGGCAGATGCTGCTCTCAGTGTGGGCCATTTTGTTTATTTGGTGATTTACAGCAAATTGATTTGTGCCACAGTTCACTTCAATGGTCACGCAGTTGCATTTGTGGGTGTGTGGGACCTGGTGCTCGGAGGCAAGCCTTACCTTATGCCGTGTACAATTTTTACTTTGGCAGCTGACTCAGCTTAAGATGACTTTACCCACAGGTGAGTGGCTCTTTCCAGAGCCTCACCCTCATCCTTTCCACCTTCATTCCAGATATTCAAATCACCACCACCTCC